ACAGGTATTTTTCCAGGGGTAAACAGACTTTTAAAGAGCTAGTTGTTATCATTTCATATTTTACAGATAAGGAAACTGAAGATCAGAGAAGTTAAACTATCATGCCATGGTCATGTATAACTAGAAAGTAATGATGTTTGTAATCAAGCTGCATTTTATTTTTCTTTAGAATGCATGCTTCTCAACTTCACCACATGGGCTAGAAAGGAGAATAGTATAATCTTCGTGTCCTGAGAAGATAATGACCTAACTCTGATAGAAGTAGTAATGAAAAGGAAGCAGTGGATATAAGCATGTCTCAAAGAAGGGAAGCCACCTGATTAGCTGTGGAGTAAGAAGCAAGGGATTAAGAAAAGTCACCTATAATACTTTATCTTCCAGCCTGGGGGACTGGAAAGTTGAGAGAGGAAGCGTATGTATATGCAGATGAGGGAAGAGCCAGAAAAGGGCGCAGAGCCAGGTAGAGTAGAGGCATAATATGTCTGTACTTGATCTCATCTCTAGGTTTAGAAGCGTTTGGAAAAGAATAATTTTGCCCATTTATGTGCAAATCTCCAGCATCCATTCTTATACCCATCATGTCTGGTAATTACAGAGATGTGATTTGCATTAGGACCAGATGCAGGGATCTATTGACACAAAGAAGACACCTGATAATTACAAAAGTTCAAATGCAGCCAATCAGTGAATACAGACTGGAGAAAGCAACAATTGCCAATGGAAAGCTCGCCAAAACAGACGAGTCTGGCTGACAGAAGAAGAAAAAGCCTTTTATTTAGAAAAAGTATAAAATAAATTGCACCCCCCTTTTTTTTTTCTGTCTCTACCTTTCATAGAAAGATTGTCCTGAAAGGCAGACTCCCTCTTTTAATGAGATTCTGGAAAGACAAAATAGCTGATTAGCCCCAGCATTTGAGAAGAAAGATTTGTCCAAATTATTTTTAGAAAATTAGCACCAAAGCCAAACAGTCTCCCTTTCTGCATTTTCATGATCTCTGCATTTATTTTCATGGCCTCTCCTTTACCTCCTGCCCATTACTCTACAAATCTCCAGGCTCCTTCTCTCACCTTCTAGTTTTCACAAACTGAAACCAGACTGCTCTTTCTAAATCCAAGACCTGGTGATGACACTTTTCCTTGCCCGTGCTTCCTCGGAATCCTTCAATGGCAGCCCATCCCCACCTGAATAACCTAAACTCCTCCCTCCACAGAGACCCAAGTCAGGCTTTCCATAGGTTATGGAAAATGACCAACAGGGCCAGGCATGGTGATTCACTCCTGTTACCCCAGCACTTCGGGAGGCTGAGGCAGGCGGATCACCTCAGGTTAGGAATTCGAGTTCAGCTGGCTAACGTGGTGAAACACCATTGTAAAAATAAAAAAATTAGCTGTGCATGGTGGTGGGCATCTGTAATCCCAGCTACTGGGGAGGCTAAGGCAGGAAAATTGCTTGAACCGGGGAGGCAGAGGTTGCAATGAGCCAAGATCACGCCACTGCACTTTAGCTTGGGTGACAGAGTGAGTCTCTGTTTCAAAAAAAGAAAAGAAAAAAGAAAATGACCAACAGTCCTTCCTTTCATGGGCTTCTAGATTTTTTAATTCTGTGGGCTAGAAAGTTTAAAATTAACAAAGAGTGATTTATAGATGCAAATGTCTATTACCACCCTTATCCCATAGAAGAAAACATTTGAACATCTAAAAAGTAGAAAAAGTAAAACTAAAATAAAAGTCCTTTAGGTTCCCCTAAAGCTTCTGTGTCTTAGAGAGAACACTGGCTGACGCTATTTGGTTGTAATACAGTTGTTTGAAATAGGTATTTGCTGTTTAAGGAACAGGGAACTATTTTTGTTGTTTGTTGTTGTTGCTGTTGTTTTCTCCCTGGGGCATTCTGAGTGCCTGGAAGCACTTGATTTGCTTGTGTAGTCCAACCCTTAAATGCCTGGTCATTCTCGGTGTGATCCTGCATCCCAGCCCCTGTCGCCTGACCCGGCAATGAGTCAGCCAGCCCCGTAAGAGGGAGGGCAGGGAGAGACACACGCCCAGCCTGTGCCATTGCCGCTGCCCCCAAGGTGACTTGGTAACTCCTGCAGCTCCCCCAGTAGAGGAGAAATGACTCTCTTTTCTTCAGGCAATGAGACTTCTCCACACCTGCTTAGAATACAGATAAACCGGAACCAGTAAGTCTCTTCTTTGGCTCAGGATCCTTCCTTTCCTCTCCAATTGGGTGGTCTCAGGAGGAAGACAGGCAGCAATAGAGATTGTTTGTGTGCAAGCCACAGTCTGTGTTTCTGTCTAAATATCTCTAGAGGAACAATTAGCTGCTCCGTCCCTAGAACTACATAATGAGTTTTTTTGTTTTTTTGCTTTTTTTTTTTTTTTTTGAGACCGGGTCTCGCTCTGTTGCCCACGTTGGAGTGCAGTGGCGCCATCTCGGCTTACTGAAAGCTCCACCTTCCGGGCTCATGCCATTCTCCTGCCTCAGCCTCCCAAGTAGCTGGGACTACAGGTGCCCACCACTATGCCCAGCTAATTTTTTTTTTTTTTTTTGTATTTTTAGTAGAGACGAAGTTTCACTGTGTTAGCCAGGATGGTCTCGATCTCCTGACCTCGTGATCTGCCCGCCTTGGCCTCCCAAAGTGCTGGGATTACAGGTGTGAGCCACTGCGCCCGGCCATAATGAGTTCTTAATTAGAATAATACTCACCGAATCTGAGTTGGATATTAAAAAAAAGTAAAGAGAGATGGGGGCTGCTGGATGGAGAGTGAGTGAAGAAGTCAGGGAATGTGAGATTTCTAAGGGATTGAAGAACAAGGATGTCAGGTGTATCCAGAGTAGAGAGCTGCCAGGATGGAAGGATGTGCCAGAAGGTGATTTGTTTGAATGTAAGTTTCCAAAGTGTTCTAGCTATTTATTGCTGCATAGCAAAGTATGCTGAAACTTGGTGACTTAAAGCAACACCCACTTTAACATATCTCATGCTTTTGTGGGTCATGAATTCAGGCAGGGCTCAGCAGGGCAATTCTTCTGAATGATGTAGCTAATCACTTACTGTATTTTATGTACTACGTAAACTTACTACTCAGATTTAAGGAAAATAATACTCAAATTAATTTTTGAGGCACAGTTTTTCGGTTTATATTAATGGACTGTGACAACTAATTTATACCTTGTGGAATTTATCTCTATTTAATGAATTATCTTGAAGACTGGGATGACTCAATCAATTAACATTCTTAGCATTCTTTGAAAATATGTTTTAGGCCATTTTATAAAATTGTGTTATTTATGGATGCAGTGGCTCACGCCTGTGATCCCAGCACTTTGGGAGGCTGAGGCAGGCAGATCACCTGAGGTCAAGAGTTTGAGACTACCGTGGCCAACATGGTAAAACCCCATCTCTATTAAAAATACAAAAATTAGCTGGGCATGTTGGTGGACGCCTGTAATCCTAGCTACTCGGGAAGCTGAGGCACAAGAATTGCTTCAACCCTGGAAGCGGAGGTTGCAGTGAGTTGACATTATACCACTGCACCCCAGCCTGGGTGACAGAGTGAGACTTTGTCTCAAAAAAAAAAAATTGTCTCGTTTCTTAGTATGTGTATGTCTTCAACTTCATTCCCTATACTACTTATATGACCTACTCTGCCTCTTGAAAAAAATATGGGTATATGAAAACCTCACCACATCTAATTCTTTTAGACATGAGGAAAAATTATATATATAAATATATAAAGTAAACAAGTTCAACCCAATAAATGAGTCTTAAATAGTACTGGCTGTGAAACTTATTATTTATATAATATAGGTCTTAAAATCTAAAAATGATAGTTTTAGAGAACTTTTCTAAAGAATTATAGTTAAGATAATCCATTAACCGGAACTTGTAGACTTGTCGGGCATTTGGCATCAGAACTTGGTTTTTCCAACTAGTTGTTGTTTTTGTTTGTTTTGCTTTCTGTTTTGTTTTGTTTTGTTTTGTTTTGTTGGAGACAGAGACTCACTTCTTCACCCAGGCTGGAGTGCAGTGGTGCAATCTCAGCTCGCTGCAACCTCTGCCTCCCATGTTCAAGTGCGTGGGCCACCATGCCTGGCTAACTTTTGTATTTTTAGTAGAGATGAGGTTTCACCATGTTGCCCAGGGTGGTCTTGAACTCCTGACCTCAAATGATCTGCCCACCTAAGGCTCCCAAAGTGCTGGGATTACAGGTGTGAGCCACTGCGTCCAGCCTCTGACTAGTTTTTAAAAGATATTTTTGTTGCATTTATCCAATAAAACACATCATATTGCAATGCTTTGAGAAACAGATCTGTTCTCATTTTATTATTAACAATATTAATGGTTGCAGGGAGCCAAAGGCCCGTGGGACATGACCAACTCAGAATTCCACTGCAGACTATATGATCAAACAGCAAACTGTTTTTTATGAATGCAGGATATGGGCAAACTCACGACTGCTCCTGCCCACAGAAGGTTTGCTGGAGGCAATTACTCTCTGGCCCGAGGTTATCTACTGCGACATCTAGAGAATGCAGTCTTACAAGCCTACTTTGGACCGAGCAGCTGACCCCTTCTTCCACCCTCCTTCTCACTATCTCTTTTGCCTAATAAATACGGAGGGCTGTGTAAAGCTCAGGGCCCTTGTCCACTAGAGGCAGGGTGCTTCCAAATATACTCTTTTGTCTTTGTCTTTTATTCCTGCATTTGCCCCACTGTGTTCAGTCCCCTAGGTCCGTGCGCGCGTTACAAGTGGCGCCCTGATTAGCCACAGAATCAAGTGCTCTACAAATGGTTCTTTAAAATCCAGAACTGAGTAATTAACATTCTTTTATGAAAACACATTTATTAACTTTCAAAGAAAATCTTGTAATGGTTTATTTTAAAAAAACTAAAAACCATTATAGTACCTGAGATAAAGCAGTCTTCAGACTGAGTCACAAAGCTGTTGGGAACCCCACCCCCACCGGCATTCTGATGCCCCTCTGACAGTGACGTCATAATGTCCTAGTTAGACACAGGACCTGCTGGGCCACAGAAAGGAGGCTCTGGAAAGACGCACTAGGTTACTGGATAAATCACTTCAATTTCCCAATGAATTTTATATTGTTTATTTTTATACCTGGAGTTTTTTCCTTGAAAGGTGGCACTTTGAAGCCTACTATTGAAGGTGAGAGAGTATTTAAAACTTTTATAAAAATAGTAGGTAAGAAGGATGACTCATAATTATGAAAAATTGGTACGTGACAATTTTCTACAGGATGATATAAACTTTCTTGTTGGAGATATGGTATGCTTTAGATTTTAAATCTCTGCCTCTAATCCTTTGTGAAAAAAATGCAGTTAGAAAAAGAAAGCAGTAAAAGAAATCAACATATTTGTGATCTATGGTGTGTAATACTTTTTTTTTTAGCATTGCCTAATGTGATGCCTTTAAATGAAGATGTTAATAAACAGGAAGAAAAGCATGAAGATCATCCTCACAATTATGCTCCTGCTAATGAGAAAAATGGCAATTATTATAAAGATATAAAGCAATGTAAGTCTTTAAAGTGAATAGAAATGTATATGCAAAAGTTGATTATTCTGGTTTGACTTAAGTCGCCTTTTTAAAATTCCATCACTTCCCCCTGCATTTGTTAGGTATTTTTTTTCTACTTCTGTGACTTGCCTGTTCATACCCTTGCCCATTTTTCCATTACGTTGAATTTTCATTTCTTTTCAAGGGCTCTTTTTATGTAGAATATATTAATCCTTTTTATGGTAAAAATAATAAATATTTTCTGCCAGGATGTTGCTTATCTGTAAGCCTTATTTTATTTTATTGCATCTTACTCATTTTTTGAAACAGGGTCTTGCTCTGTCACCCAGGCTGGAGTGCAGTGGCACGACCATGGCTCTCTGCAGCCTTGACCTCCCAGAGTTCAAGCAGTCCTCCCGAGTAGCTGGGACTACAGGCACATGCCATCACACCAGACTAATTTTTGTATTTTTATGTAGAAACGGTGTTTCATCATATTTCCTAGGCTGATCTCAAACTCCTGGGTTCAAGCGATCCACCTGCCTCACCCTCTCAAAGTGCTAGGATTATAGGTGCGAGCCACTACACCTGGCCAAGCCTGTTTAAGTATCTTTAATTACTGAGAAGATTTCAAGTTTTATAATATCAATTCTGTTTATTCATTTCTTTATAATCTCTGCATTTTGCGTCTTGCCTTAACAGGTCTTATCCAGTCCAAAATATTGTTTTCTTGATTTTTAAAAGTAGTTTTATGTTTTTAACTTGAGCTTTAAATCCAATTATTTTTGTGTATGGCATAAAGTAGGGATAAAGCATTATATTTTTCAAGGATGATAGCCAAGTGTCTAACACCAATTCCCTACTAATGTGAAACATTTAATATAATCAAAACTCTAACAGGAAATTAGGCCAATTGTTATACTTGTTTTTTTAAACTGTCTGTTCCTAGAAAAATACCAGTGTTTCAACTTTTATACTTTCGTAACTCATGGCATGAGTGTTGGGTTGTGACTTCCTTTTATTTTTTCCATAGCTCTGTCTCAGGAATTGCTCAAAAATGATGAAATATTAGTGGCACCATTTTTATGTGTGTTGTCCATAATTTATCTGTTATCTTGTTAGAGAACATTTAGTCTATGTGCAGTTTTTCCCATGTACATTCTTCTCATATACACACTTGGGTGAATTTCTCTGTTCTCACAAAGAGAGAAATGAATACATATGTACATATTAAATACACGCACATACATTCGTGTGTGTATAGAATTTTGTGTCACCTTATGAAATTTTGGAGAAAGGAGACACATGTGCATGTTTAGTCTGTTGTCTTGATCCAATTCGCTTTGATCCTTTGGTTGGAGGAATATGTACATCAGTTTTGAATTGCATCCAACTCCACTGATGAGTCTTAAGAGCAGCATTCTTTATGTGTATGTGTAGATTTGAGTATATGTGAGGGAGCTTAATTGTTATCAAACAATACGCTTTTAAGCTGAAGTGTTCATTCCATAGTCTAACAGAAGGTTCAAGGGCAGGTAAATGCTTCTTACTTGGTTTTTTGATAATGTCAATACTAACATTGATAACATTGCACATCTACAAATCTACTTCAGCACCTGTTATGGGCTTACTTTTTTTTTTTTCGACGAATTTCGCCAATAATTGCTTCTTGGAAGGGGTCATTTGACATAAAGATACTAGTTTGACTTTTTTCAATTAGTTTTAGATTTGACCCTTGCCCCTCTTTCTTATTTTATAGATGAAAAAAAATGACTGTAATTTTTTTATTTTTTTATTAGTGCATATGTTTTAAGAAAAAAAACTCAGAGGAAGAAAAAGGTAAGGGAAAAAAGTGACTTAGCTAGTTGCTGAAGACTTTTGCTTTTGTTTTTAGATGTGTTAACAACACAAAATCCAAATGGCACTGAGTCTGAAATAACTGTGAGAGCCACAACTGACCTGAATTTTTCTCTAAAAAACTGTAAGTAGTGAAAGGCACCATTGCACATTTAAAAGCCATTAAAGAGATTTCAAAACAGCAATAGAGACTGCTGGGGAGAAAAAAAGGTCTTCATTCCTAAATAAGACTGACATTTTCCCTCTAAAGTTGATTCTATGACTAGGATCCAGCTTAGCTCTTGGCCATCCTCTCTGCTTTTCTCACACTTCCTCCCACACAAATACGCTTGAGGCTCCACCTCCATTACACTGATCATTTCAGAATCCGGGGAGGTTCTTGCATTTCTAAACCTCATACATTTGGTTTATGTGGAAAGAAAAATTAAATAATAACTAAATTTTTGATTCTAGGAAAATTTACATCTTTCTTAAACCCACATTTTTACGCCTTTCTGGGTTTTATCTTCAGCTTTAAATGGGGAAGAGAGAATGTTTCTAGCTACGGCAGTGTCAATATTGAGAAATGTGAAACTCAGGAATGCCTAATTATTAACAAAGCTACTTGATAATAATGAAATATTTTGAGCAATTTCAAACCTTGGGATTTAAATGAGACAGTGACATTTCAAGGGTGTATATTAACTCAGTAAATCACTCATGGGAATCTTGCTTATGCACAACAAACAATATCTTGAGTTGTCTGGGACAAGACATGGAGAGGCAGCTCTTAAGTGGACCAGGTACCTCAAATTCCCTTAGGATATGAGTTACTGAGTACAGACCGCAGGACCCAAGGAAGAGACTGCAAAACTCTCACTTTTATTTCCACAATTCAGGCTCCCAGAGGATTGTCAGGGAAAGTGGGATGGGAATAAGACATTCCTGCCATTTTAAATGGGGCTGTGACAGAAGGAGACCTGCTGGCATGGTGGGGATGTTCTAGGGGAGCAAGCTCTCAGGAAGATGGAGATCTGAGGATACCTTTGACTAACGGTTGCTTGCTTAAGTATAGTCCCTAAAACTCTGAAGGCAAGGGGGGTAAACTGAGGCAATCTAGATGCTTTTCTCCAGAGGATAAGGGTTGCAAAGCAGAATTTAAGGATGACTTACTAGTTTTTCGAGTGCTGCTTGAATCACTATCAACTCCAGTAACTGATTCCCTCTCCCAACCTTCCTTGTCAGCAAGACACCTGTGATGGGTTTGTGGGCTGGCTCAGTGTGAATTTTTTCTGCCCCTCTGTAGAAGTCCTCCTATAATGGGTGCCCTGCACTCCGTATGGAACTTTATTGACTCCTGTATTAAACAGTTAACTGAAATGGCCATCGACTTGAAGAAAGGGTCCTCTAGTCACAGTTGTTACCAAACACTCCCTTAGTGACATACCTCCAGAGGGACCTATTACAGACTGAGATATATACTAAATTAGACCTGAAAACCCTTGATTTGTAGTCCGAAATCTTTATATCCAAATGTCTGTTTCCAATTTACAAGCATACTTAATATTCAGCCTCCCTTTTTTGCGTCGTTACACTGAACAGCAGCCATGCTGCTCTGGACAAAGAAGATCATTTCGCGGCCTGTGCAGGGAACCATCTGGAGCCAATTATCTTCTCCAAGAGATCTTCTTTACCTCTAAAGAAAGCCTGTGGCCACATGTTCCTTTTCCTCTCTTTCACAAATTATAGTCGTGTTAATCCCACCTCAGGCACCCCATGATCACAAAAACTTTATTCTTCAATACCTTCTTCTTTCTCCTTTAATTTATTTCAGGAAAATGTTAATGTCTTTCTCTTCCTTTTTCTTTGTTCTTCTCTCTCCTTTTCTTTGTTCCATTTTTAGCTTAAAAAATATCTAATCTCAGATGTTTAGTCAGTATTTTTACATGCCAATCATTCTTTTTCCCTTTTCCTAGATAAAATTGTCAATGCAACTACATATGAAAAATCCGCCAGTGAAGAAGAAACAACTACTAACGAACCCTCTCATAAAAATATTCCAAGTATTTAAATTACTACACTGTATTCATACCTGGAGCATATCATTATGTGACTTAAAAATTTAAGTTTCACTACTCTGAGCATTACATAAAGTCATAGCATGCTTAAAGAATTTACACTGCTACCTTTTAAAGTCACTAAAATCTTTTAAATGGTGAATGTCTAAGAGTCAGTCTTCAGGTATACCTGACAAGGGATGGGAAATGAGCGTTTGTAGAAATAGAATTTTATTTTAATAAAATTGTATCACATTTGTGTCTATATTAAATACGTATTCACAAATTAGCATATATTTATAAATATAAGTATATATCGAATGTATTTGAAATATAATTCATTTTGCTAATAATGAAAAATATTCTGCCTGCTTGAGGAATAAACTTATCTCTGGTTAGGATCAATTGTTAGTGTTTCCTAAGATTATTTGAGGTTGGGGGTTGGGAGTGGGAGGCTGCAAAATCAAAATGACCATTTTACTTCCCTCTCAAGAATACTGTTCCTTATAAAATATTTGTGGAGCCATAACAACCCAGGATGGCTCTCCTCTAAGGTCTTGAATGAGTGGTCTAATTGAAGAGAATGGATACTTTTGTGTCGTTACATGAAACCCTATTTTCTCCAGTTCATGCAATCCAAGTATGTTTCTAATGTAATTATTCTGAGTTTGCATTTTTAACACTACTGAAAAAAATCTTTTTTGATATGTTTAAAAATGAAAACCTGATCATCCTGGCATTCCCCTTCTTAAACGTCCCTAGGAACTTACTACTAAGTTTGGGGTCAAGTTTTAACTCCTTAACCAAGCATTCAATTCCAAAACAATCTGGCCACTGTGAAAATGTTCCACTCTCAACTCTGGTTACATTCCCCATCCACACCCTTCACTCCAGACTTACCTGAAGCTCCCAGAGCTTACTGAGCCTGCTTATGAGTGCGCGTTTGCTCACGGCTGGAATGAGCTCGCTCTCACCTTGTTTGCCTGGTGAACAATTGCTAGTTCTCTAAGCTTATATGGGAACATCATCTCCCTTTTGAAGGGTTTCTGGCCTTAACAAGTTGAATTAAGCCCTGTGCATACCACCTGTGCATTTCTACTAAAGCCTTGATTATCCTGCTACATAAACAGCAATGATTCTTGTCTGCATCCAAAATTAAGGTGGGTTCCTTGACTGTAATGTCTGAGACTTGTTTACTTGTGTATAAGTTAGTGCCAACCCCAGGGTCTGACACACTGTAGGAGCTCAAAGTTTAACTGCTAAATGACTAACAAACAAATGACTGTTACTCAAACTAAATTATTTTGTTATCCTGTTGTGTTTTTTTGTTGTTGTTGTTGTTGTGTTCTGTTTTGTTTTAACAGGATCAACCCCAAACCTGCCTGCATTTTGGACAATGTTAGCTAAAGGTAAAGTCATACAGCTAGTTAGCTCGGGGAATGTTTTGGTTTTCTAAAATCTTACTTAGAGCTAAGATCAGTCTAAATACCTCTAATAATGAGTTGATAAGTCAACATTTTGTTGTCCCTCATAATAGCAAAATTCAAAACAAACCTAGAAAGGTGATAAAGTGTCACACATTTTCTGATTGCCCACTCTTTACAAAAGTTTTATTCTCTTACAAATGTTAGTTATTCAATTTATTTATGATTAAAATTTTTCAGTAAGATTCTTGCTCAATATCATTCATCTTTGTGTTTGGAGCAGTGCATGCAAAAGCTCACAGAGATGCATGTATAAATGCAAAGTATATATCAAAATATATGCATGCATAAAAGTGTGTATCATAAATATATAAGCATGCATGTATAGCATGATGTACATAGTATTTCTATGCATGTGTGTATAAATGCATGTGCATATATGGATGTACACATGTATAAAGGTAATGCATGTATCACACAGAAATATATGCATTGTATATGTGAAATATATACCATATTCAGTTGATCATTTTTCCATATTCTGTGTTTGCATTCTGTATCACCTACTCATTAATATTTCTTTGTCACCCCAAAATCAGTAGTTGCAAAACCTTCACAGTCATTTATGGACATTGGCAGAGCTTTGAAAATTTTTAATTGTCTGACACACACATTCCCAGCTGAAATAGAACAAGGCAATATTCTGCCTTCTTTATTCAGCTCTCGTTCTGTAAATAAGTGTCATTTTTGCACCCCACTTAGTGCCACATTTTTTGCATATTTTGTGCTTTTTTGTTTATGATTTTGCTATTTAAAATGGCCCCCAAATGTAGTGTTAAATTGCTGGTTGGTGTTCCTAAGTGCAAGAAGGCTGTGATGTTCCTTATGGAGCTAATATGTGTTAGAGAAGCTTCGTTCAGGCAAGTGTTATAGTGCTGTTTTCTATGAGTTCAGTGTTAATGAATCAACAATATATATTAAGTGAAGTATCTTTAAACAGAAACACACATAAAACAAGGTTATTTATTGATCAGTTGATGAAAATGCTGTGACCAGACTTGCAGGAATCTAACCCTGTATTTACCCTGGGAGGAACAGTTCAGTATTTGCTAATACAGTGTTTATAGGACTTTATAGAACATAACTGCCATGAATAATGAGAGCACACTGTACATATTATACACACATACATACACCATCAATAATTTTAGTAAGTGAATGTTGTTTACCATAACACCAATTTATTGTTTTAACAGCTATAAATGGAACAACAGTGGTCATGGATGATAAAGATCAATTATTTCACCCAATTCCAGGTAAGAACAAAATATTTCAATTGACTGGGTGCAGTGGCTAATGCCTATAATCCCAGCACTTTGGGAGGCTGAGGCAGGTGGATCACTTGAGTCCAGGAGTTGGAGACCAGCCTGGGCAACATGACAAAAACCTTTTCTCTACAAAAAATGCAAAAATTAGCCGGACATGGTGGCATACCATTGTACTCCAGCCTGGGTGACAGAGTGAGACCCTGTCTCAACAAACAAACCAAAGTACTTCAATTAATAGACACATAAATACTCTTACACATCTTAGTGTCTTTATGATGATACTGTTTTTGGTGTATGAAAGGCGGTATCATGGTGACTAACATCTCAGAGAGGACATTTACTGTTTAGGAGAGTTATAGTTCCTAAGCATTCTTTTTTAGTTATACTTTGCAGATGACCATTACCACCTTCCTGTTTTGTAACATTTATCCCTGAAACCAAATGGAGGAGGTGAGTGAATAATATGTAGAATGCAGTCTTTTTTAAAAACAGACTTTATTTTTAGAGCAGTTTTGGGTTTAAAGAAAAATTTGGCAGAAAGTACAGAATTTCCATATTCAACCCTCCTCAGTTTCCCCTACGTCTTGCATGATGTGGTACATTTGTTACAATTTATGAACCAATAGTGATTCATTATTAATTGAAGTCCATAGTTTACATTAGGATTCACTCTTTGTATTATACAGTTCTTTGGGTTTTGACAAATGCAAAATATCACGTGTCTACCATCCCAGTATCATACAAAAGTTTCACTGCCCTAAAATCTCCTCTGCCCCCATCAATTCATCCCTTTGTTCCTCTCTCCCCACGAACTCCTGACAACCACTGATCTTTTTACTATCTCTATAGTTTTGCCTTTTCTAGAATGTCATATAGTTGGAGTCATACAGTATGTAACCTTTACAGACTAGCTTCTTTCACTTTGCAATATGCATTTAAGATTCCTCTGTGTTTTCTTGTGGCTTGAGAGCTCATTTATTTTTATCACTGATATTCCATTGTATGAATGTACCCTACTTCATTCATCTACTGAAGGACATCTTGGTTGCTTCCAATTTTCGGCAATTATGAAAAAAGCTGCTGTAAACACTTGTGTGCGGGGTTTTATGTGGACATATGTTTTCGACTCATTTTGGTAAACACCTATGAATATGATTTATGGATCATATAGTAAGACTATGTTCAGGTGCAGTGGCTTGCCTATAATCCTACCACTTTGGAAGGGCAAGGTGGGAAGATGAGAGTGGTTATTTTTGTAAGAAACTACCAGACTATCTTCCAAAGTATTTTTGGAATTCTCACCAGCAATGAATGTGAGCCCCTGCTGCTGGATACGGTTTTCATTAATGGCTTACTTATATTAATAGAAGTAAAATAAACTCCTGATTTGAATGGAAAACTTCATGAAAAAAACACATTAATTTCCCCCAGAAAACCTCTCTCCTACAAATAATTGGTTGAAAAATAGGATGATGACATATCTAAGACCTGTCACCTCATTTGTGCGCTGGATTGATAGTTGTGGCCATTTGCCTTGTGGTACTTCAAGAAAATTAAGTGACTTGACTAGATGCTGTAATCCCAGCACTTTGGGAGGCTGAGGCAGGCGGATCACCTGAAGTCAGGCGTTCGAGACAAGCCTGACAACATGGTGAAACCCCGTTTCTATTAAAAATACAAAAAAATTAGCCAGGCATGGTGGCGGTTGCCTGTAATTCCAGCTACTCAGGAGGCTGAGGCAAGAAAATAGCTTGAACCTGGGAGGCAGAGGTTGCAGTGAGCTAAGATTGCACCACTGGACTCCAGCCTGGGCGACAGAGCAAGACTCCATCTCAGAAAAAGAAAAAAGAAAGAAAAAAAGAAAAGAAAATTGAGTGATTCTTCTTTGTTTAGAAAAGTTATAAACAGGAATGACAAATGCTGGCTCATTTTATAAATACTTTGCCATTTCTTCTATTTAATAGAGCTTGATTGATTTTATTGTTTATTGAGCACATACTACATGTTAGGTGTTGTGGGCACATTATTATGTTAGTCCTCACAGCAACTCCATGAAGTTGGTATTATCTTCATTTTACAGTTAAGAAAACTGAGGCTTAGAGAGAAAAGCTGCCCACGCTTATAACTAGCTTTTCTGTAACTTCCAGAGATTATGAGTTCCAAACCCTTCTCTAGTTCTGACCATCACCTAGATAAAGAAGATATACTATGAGCACACATCTTTATTAAAAATCCTTTCAGGAGACAGAAAAGCAATTCAGGAGCACAGCCCGTTTTAACATAATTTGTCTGATTATTCCCGAAATAATAGACCTCAAAGCATTAAAAGAGTCATTGACAACTGTATACATTTTCATGGTCTAAGGTCACACATTGACAATTGTAATTTTTAAAAATCAGAGAATATAGACATGGAAGCTTGTCATTGCTTATGACCTAAATATCGTTACCTAGAAAATAGTGAAAACCCTTGGAACTTTTGAGTTGGCAGATGCTGGGGGTTAGCTAGGGGAAAGGGGAGAAATAACGACATATTGTCATCATTAAATGTTTATTAAGTGAGATATATATTCAGGCAAATATAAAATTTGGCAGTAAAGCTATCATTTCATTAATAGATTTAGTTAAAAAAAAGATTCTTGATATCTCTGGATCCAGACATAATATTATATTTAACTTATTTTAGAAAGTTAAATGAATTGATTCTATTTATTTTTGTAATGTGAAGTACACTAGATTTAGTCTTTTCAGTAATAAAATGGCAAAACTATCTCTTAAGCCTCAGGGAAGAAGCATTCACTATACCCCACCCTTTTAGCTTAAAAGAAAAATCAGTGCATGATCCAACACTAGAGCATGTACCTTTACCTCCTGAAAGATTGGTCCCTTCGGTGTAAGTCAATCGTTTTGGAAAATAATCTCTTCAGACATGGTAGATTAAATCAGATAAAGTCTGCTATACATTTTGACATCTGGTAATCTGGGTTTGAAACCAGATTTTGCCACTTACTATGTGCAATGGGCAAATACAGAAACTTCCATGATACTGTAAAATGGAGCTAAGGACAGCTCCTTCAGGATTGCTGTGAAGGTTAAAGAGGAAAGTTAAGAGTGTTTGGCGTTAGAGAGTAGCTTTCTCCTTCGCATTGCCTGTGGGATGGGAGGCCTGCCAGTTAGTACTCTGGATGGTGGAGGGCTTGCTTCTCTGTATTTGCTTTGCAATCTTTACTCCTTCAGGAAAACACACTGATCACCCTATTTTCCACTGTATTTTCTTTCTTTTCAGAGTCTGATGTGAATGCTACACAGGGAGAAAATCAGCCAGATCTAGAGGATCTGAAGATCAAACTAATGCTGGGAATCTCGTTGATGACCCTCCTCCTCTTTGTGGTCCTCCTGGCATTCTGTAGTGCTACACTGTACAAACTGAGGCATCTGACGTAAGTCTACAGACCTCTGCAGTCTTTACAACAAATGCATGACATCGCATTCTCTCCCTCCTCTCTTTAGTAGATTCTTAGGAATATGTGACCTCTGAATTTATCCACATGGCATTCAAATTGATTCCATTTACTGTATTCAGATGGAGCATTGGGCTGTCTTTAAGGGAATATCCTACTTGAACTTTTTCCCAATAGTCATCCAGAGATAGAAATAACCTTAGTCAATTGGAAAGGATAAAGAGAATCTAGATATGCTCTTTTTTATATAGCCCTGGAACAAATATATTCTGTTCTAAATAGCACATCTGCTTAGCATCTAATGTTTTTTATTCAAGCAAGCCTTGAGACTTTCAAAAAACAGCCAGTCTCTATCACCTTTACACTGTGAGACCTGTCCATTGGCTCTTTCTTATCAAAATATTAAATTCAACTCAAGCCTGATTAAGGGAATTATTTAACATTTTTCAGGCAGTGTAACAGATTACCTTCAAAAATCCTAACAATTGCTTAATGTTCATAATGATCATTAATTCCATTCTTTTCATTGTGGTGTTTTTGATGAATGGTGTATTTCTCTGGCTCATTAAAACTGTGATCCTAGGTATTTATTCCCCTTCATTCAATTTCATTGTACATGTTTCTTATTAAACTTTCATTAAGGCAACTTTAACTATTTTAGTAAATTGGTTTATAAATTCTAGAGATTTGAAACATGCTTCAAAGTGTTAAATATAATCAAATTACAATGAAAGAAAAACTAGGCTGGCCGCGGTGGCTCCCGCCTATAATCCCAGCACTTTGGGAGGCCGAGGCGGGCAGATCACGAGGTGAAGAGATCAAGACCATCCTGGCCAACATGGTGAAACCCCGTCTCTACTAAAAATACAAAAAGTAGCTGGGCATGGTGGCATGTGCCTGTAGTCCCCGCTACTCGGAAGGCTGAGGCAGGAGAATCATGTGAACCTGGGAGGCGGAGGTTGCAGTGAGCCAAGATTGCACCACTGCACTCCAGCCTGGTGACAGCAAGACTGTGTCTCAAAAAAAAAAAAAAAAAAAGAAAGAAAGAAAAGAAAAAGAAAAGGAGAAACTATATATCATTTATATAATGTTACTAAGTAACTAATACACTGGGCAAAATTCGTATATTTTAATTTCTGAATGCTTGTCTAAGCTAAGTTACAAATGTACACAATTAAAAACAATTCTTGATATATGTTCTTTTCTTCCTCAGTTATAAAAGTTGTGAGAGTCAATACTCTGTCAACCCAGAGCTGGCCACGATGTCTTACTTTCATCCATCAGAAGGTGTATCAGATACATCCTTTTCCAAGAGTGGAGAGAGCAGCACATTATTGGGCACCACTTCTTCAGATATGAGAAGATCAGGCACAAGAACATCAGAATCTAAGATGATGATGGATATTTCCACAGGCTCAGATGATGAGATGCACTGAGTAAGAGGTGGAACCTGGTGAAGAAATCATACTGATGAATAAATAACTTTAATTCTTTTGTCATCAAGAGAACTTTCTTTATGTCTTCTGTTAATGTCATGAGTTTGAAGCTCTGCTGAGACATTCTGGTGTCTTAAAAGGAGGACAGACTCAATAAAAATTATCTCTCAGTTATAAAATTTAATGGAAAATGCACAAGAAAATAATTTAAGGTGTGAGAAACTCATCAAGTAAAAGCATTCCTGGAGAGTGACTTTGAAAGATATTTTCTCTAGGCTGGTTCATTTTAAAACAAGGACATTTAGATACTTACCTTCCCCAGGGGCATTTTGAGAACATCAGGGAACTTACCACTACCTGTGCGCCCCCTCACCACCAGTGAAGCAAAAAGAACACACCTGTTCATGTTTTATTGACAAAACAGTTGTGCCATCAAGAGATGAAACTAAATTAGTGGTAGGAACTCCTAGCCTTCTTGAATTGTTTAAAAGTCATCAGGGGCTGCTCTCACATGGCAAAGAGTAAGAAAGAAAAGATATTTTTCCATTTCTTTTTTCTTTTCTTTTGAGACAGAGTCTCGTTCTGTCTCCAGGCTGGAGTGCAGTGGCGCGATCTTGGCTCTCTGCAACCTCTGCCTCCTGGGCTCAAGCAATTCTCCTGCCTCAGCCTCCCGAGCAACTGGGATTACAGGCACACATCACCACGCCTGGCTACTTTTTGTATTTTTAGTAGAGATAGGGCTTCATCATGTTGGCCAGGATGGTCTCGATCTCTTGACCTCATGATCTGCCCGCCTTGGCCTCCTGAAGTGCTGGGATTACAGGAGTAAGCCACCGCGCCTGGCCATATTTTTCTATTTCTAAAGTATCCATAATTGTTTGAGACAACACGGTGTTCCAGAAGAAGAGAGATGAAGAGGGGAATTCCAGCAGGTAATTTCCTAGATGGGGACTCATGGACCCTAAGCCTTTACCATTGAAGTGCCCTTCTTTCTCTCTTCCCCCAGGCGTCCAGGATTACTGTGTTCCACTGAAAGAAAAGCAATGCCTTTCAAAGACTTATTCAAGTTTATTAGTGACTTTTGTGGCTATCCATACCAAAAGTATTTCAATTTACAAAGACAAAAAATAGGGATAATGTTTCCTTTTTATAAATTAGTTTCGGCTGGGCGCAGTGGCTCGTGCCTGTAATCCCAGCACTTTGGGAGGCCCAGGTGGGCGGATCACAAGGTCAGGAAGTTGAGACCAGCCTGGCTAACATGGTGAAACCCCGTCTCTACTAAAAATAGAAAAATTAGCCGAGTGTAGTGGCACATGCCTCTAACCCTAGCTACTCAGGAGGCTGACGTAAAAGAATTGCTTGAACCCAGGAGGCGGAGGTTGCAGTGAGCTGAGATCGCGCCACTGTACTGCAGCCTGGGTGAGAGAGCCAAACTACATCTCAGAAAGAAAAAAAAAAGACATTAGTTTGAAGTGGAGGGGTTTAGGGACATGCATCATGTCTTTTCGGGATATGTATGAATACGGGAGAAGAACTTAGGGCATGTTTCATCACCCTCTTCAATTCTTACCATACCAACAGCTTTCATTTACTTTGTTTCATTTTCATTTACAATGTTCTAAAGCGCCTACTTTATAATAGGCGCTTTAGAACACTGTATCACATTAAATCCTACTATCTTATGAAAGGTGAGTTTATTTTACAGATAAAAAAACAGAAGTTCGGGTAAGTCAGATAAATTGCCTAAGAGCACCTGCTGTGCTGTGCTTCCAGTCTGAGGTTCTCTCCATGATCCATGAAGGTGAATAGTCAGACTAGCAACAAAAGTCTTTAGGAGCAACACAGGTCCAGTACCCAAGACACATAAGGTTCCTTAACTCGGGTGTTCTTTTGGCTCTTGGGAAACTGTTTTCCTTTCCTTTAGCTTGGGTATCTATAATCCTTCTTCCCCGCGAGAATAAACACACATTTTACTCTCACCTGCCACTTCCCCTACTATCCATTGTCAGAGTCCTTCACTCCGAAGTTTCGCCCCAGACTCCAGCCCAGTCTCGCTCGCCATTGGTTGGGAAAGCTACGGAGCTCCGCCTTTGAGTAGTGATGGGCTATATAAGACGCCACCCTTGCGGGAACAGGCAGCAGGACAGGCGCTCACCTTTGCCTGATCTATACCAACAGTGCTTACAGTTTCTGAGCCAGTGGCGGTGGCCTGGAGCAGCAGCCCACGCTGCCCTCTGCCTGTTACTTTTGCCATTTTCTGTGCCCTTTTGACAGCTCCAAGGATCGGTGCCAGCATTTGTACTGCCAGTTCAGGCATCTGCAGAATGGTAGAAAAGTGAGGGAGGTGGTTGCGGTTGCCTGGAGGTGCTCCAGGTGGAAAGGAGTTGTGTTGAATCCACAGGTGAGAAAGGGACGCGAGAATAGTATCAGGTGGGCTTGGAGAGAGGTTGATAACCAACTATTCCCACGTTTTCTCTCCACCCCTCCTTAGGAGGTGCCAAGAATTTTCCTGATTGGAAAGAGCTGGAAGAGCCACTTTTCAATCATGTAAAAAGTAGTAGTAGTAGTGCTAATAGTAGTGGTACTTGTCTGTGGTACTAAAGTAAAGCATTGTAGAAAGTTAAGTATAGCATTACTCTGCCTACAATATATAAAATGACCAAAAGGGATATGTTAACTATTTTTAAATGGGCTACTCATCCTCAGACAGTTGGCATAGTTTGCCTTGTAAAGTGCAGTGAAGGTATTTTGAGGGGGCTGGAAGGGGAGTGGGCACATGAATGCCAGGAGGTACTGGTGTGTGTGGTCTCTTTTCCGCCCCCTCCTGCTCTAAAAGTGAGAAGAGGGTCTCACAACCAGTGCTGGTTGGGGAGAGGTTATCTGTTTTCTCACTGCTGACCCTCTATGCCATCCATAACTAATCCTTCATTTTCTGGACAGGTTTTCTGGACCTCTGACCTGCTTGCCCTGGAAGGCATCATCAAACCAGTCCCTTTTCAGTCTATCAGTTTCTCCCCGATTCTGAAACTCCTTATTTCCTTTCGCTGATGCTCCCTAATCATCCTCTTCCCCAAACCTCAAAGGGGACTTTCAATTCTGTTCCCCCATCCCCATAGGTGTATTTTGCTGCTTTGTTTTCCTCTCCCTTAACTACTCACAGTGACACAGGTGAACCCCCAAACGGGGGCTCAGTCCGGGAGGGTTCTTGGCCAGGTTCAAGAGCCAGCGAACAGTGAAAGCAAGCAAGTTTTTAAAGAGCAACATACAGCACAAGTGGCGGTTCCATAGGCAGCAGGATATCCCTGGCACAGCAGCACTTGTGGACTGCCGGCTAGCTATATTTATACCTACTTATAATTACAGGCTAAGTAAGGGGTAGTTTGTTCAAAAACTTTCTGGAAAAGGGGCAGGGAGTTTGTGGAACCATATAAAGTAACTTTCTGCCATTGCCATGGCATTTGTAAACTGTCATGGCACCGGTGGAAGTGTCTTATAGCATGCAAATGGAGAGCCCAGAGCAGGAGCTACAGCATGGGTTGCTGCTATATTTATACTCACTCTTAATTGCATGCTAATTAAGGGGTGGGTTATTTTAAATTTTCTAGAAAAGGGGCAGGGAGTTCCTGGAATCATACAAGCGAACTTCCAAGTGTTGCCATGGCATTTGTGAACTGCCAGGGCTCTGGTGGGAGTGTCTTTAATAATGATCAGTGAGAGCAAACAGGTTGCTTTCTTTGCCCTCTTTCGGTTTCTGGCAGCTTTCTCTGCTACATCCTGTTTTTGATCAGCAGGAGCCTTGCTGGTGCTGGAGAAACAAGTCCTGATCTCCTACCTCCCTGCTGCAATGGAACTGAAGATCAGCTCCTATGGACTGGCTATGGTGGGAAAGAAGCACCAGCACTCGCCTTAGAACTAGCAGCCAAGTCCTTCTAAAGTGCCCAGGAGTAAGTCTTCCCAGCATCACACACCCAGGATCAGCAGCCTTAAGTTCTAGCCCCTATTCCCTCTTTCTTCCTCCCTCCTGCCACAAGCGTGTCCTAAACATGCCGAACAGTGAGGGTGCTACAGAGGTCCTGATTGACGGTGTTTTTTGCAGGCCTTTTGGGTGGCCCCTCAGTTCCTGAAACCCTGGGTTGTAGAGGGAAGCCGTCCCAGAGATATTTGGAAAGGTGATTGGCTTGGGTGGGCGTCAAGAGCATCTCTTCCATCCCTCAGGAGGAGTGGGCACCAGCTCCCCAGTAACCAAAAGAACTGCGGGGCCCGCGGGGCTCCACGGTGCCCGGGTAGGTGGACCTACGCGCTGCTCAGATGGGGGCGGGGCCAAAGTCACCAGCTCAGGAAGTGGTGGGCGAGGGGCTTGGGTGGGCGCATGAGCTCTTTGCGAAGACCAGTAAATGGCATTTCTTGGGAACGCAGGATCCTAGGAAGGCGCCTAAGCTGCCGTGCACAGATTTGCTGGTTGTTAAGAAACAGGTGCAAGGTATCCTCTCTCCATCACTCATTCCCAACGTGGAATTACTGTAAGGAGCTTCCCGTGCTCTTGTGAAAGGTAGAAAAGGTAAGAAGAAAACTGGCTGTTAGGCCTCTGTTAATTCTGGTGAAGGCAAGGAATAATTACCAATCAAAGGAGCTGTTCCCAATCAGCTCTAGCCTGAGAAAAGATTGTAAGCATGCCTTCAAACTTCAAAATTAACCCTCCAAATCTAGCGTCTGGTGAAGTTAAAAAACAAAAAAAACGTAACACTGTTCGTGGCAGGGAAGGAAAGTATAATCATGTTTTTTCAGTAGTGCCCCCAAAGCACTATTTAACAGCCCTTTCTAAATCATTGCAACCAAGTAAAACCCAGCTTAAGCCAAAAGGCACTTCCTCCGCCTGCTTATCTGGAGTTTACTGCCCTTTCCAAGTTAATTTAAAGAGAAACTAGATCCAGGCCTTTATCTTTGGATCCTAAGATAATTCTCATTCTTGTGCGTGCGCCTCTCCTTCCCCATCTATCAAAATGTCACATTTCCACTACATTGTTTTGGATTTCGATCACGTTAATTTCTTAATAGGAAATGAATGGT